TATTGTGAAACATTTGTATCATTTAAAATAACTTTTCAATTTGAATATATTTTAAAATGGAATCTATTCGGTAAAGCTGAATTTTCAGCAGCCATTACTCCAGTCTTTAGTGTCACATGATCCTTCAGAAATCATTCTAATGTGATTTAGCACTAAAGAAACATTTCTTATTATTATCAATGTTGAAAACAGTTGTACTGCTTAATATGTTTGTGGAAACCGTTCTTTGATGAATAGAAAGTACAAAACACAGCATTTATTTAACTCTTTACTGTCACCTTTGATCAGCTGCATCCTTGCTGAATAAAAGTATTAATCTACAACAACAACAACAAAATCTTGCTGACCCCAAACTATTTAACGGTACATATATCGGTTCTTTATTTTTTTAGACAATAAAATGGGGAACACTAGTTCAGTCTGGCCTGCTGACACTCTGTTAACAGCTTGAACTATCCATGCTACTTCCTGCTAATTATTACTACTCTTACATCAGTTAAAAGTGCTTCTTTTGTTTTAAACCATTGTAAAGTTACCAACTGAGTCATTCTCTAAATCACAATTTACACACCTTTACTAGACTTGCCAACTTGCATCTGTCTCGCTAGCCGCTTTCCCATTATAAGCCTCTTTTACATGGTCAAGGGTTCTGTCGTGCCAGCAACTCAACTTCCTAGTGAGTTAATTGCTCTAAAGACTCTAAATGAACTCGTCTTGCTTGAAATAACACTGACAGTCATAATGACTAATGAGCTTTTGACAAGCCATTGTCCTGCTCATGTCTGACTCAAACACACAATCACACAGACTGATAGTGTAGCTACTCCATGAAATCCTCAAAAAACACAGGGTGCTCCAATGACACTTTATTATTTATTTATTTATTTATTGTGCTGTTTACAGAGAACAGGGGTATCACAGAGAAGAGTGTGACTTCTCAGGAAACACTTTTTTTTTTTTTCAAGCGAAATCTTTTAGAGACATGCATGGTTTAAAAAAACAGGGCCTACTGATTTTTTCATGTTTTGAAATAAGTCTCTTACGTTTACTAAGGCAGCATTTATTTAAGCAAAAATACAGTAAAAACAGATATATTGTAAAATATTATTATAAATCAAAATAGCAATTTTCTATTTATATTAACATTTTTTATAAAGTATTAGATTATAATAAAACAATATTTCTGTTATTTTTAAAGCTGTCATTACCTGGCTTTGAGCAGCCATTACTCAAATAATTCTGATATGGGGTTTTAAAACATTTCTTATTATCATCAATTTCAGAAACAACTGTTCTGCTAAATATTTTATGGAAACCATGACAATTTTTTCAGGACTCATGAATAGAAAGTTAAACGAACAGCATTAGCATGTAATAGAAATCTTTTGTAACATTATAAATGTCTTTTCTGTGACTTTTGGTACTGACTGAAAGTATTCACATAAATTTTATACTGTATATTTAAACAGTTTTGCCTGGAATTCCATAACTGGTGCCATTGTAATCAGCATTTACAGTGACACAAGTTATGGGATTTATACCCAAACTGTGTTAAGAACACATATCAAAATGAATCGTCATAGACCTTTATCTGGAGTTGGCCTGCCTTTAAAAAAAGTAAATGTCTTATCTAGTCAAACGAGGATTGTTGTTGAATGAAACTTTTTAGTATGTGCCAAAACTTTAGGGAATGTGGTCATGAACCAAACACATACAGCTGAAAGCAATCTATTTATGACATGAGTTTGTCTTACCAGATTCCACAATGTGCATCTGTGTAAGTAGAAGGACAAACAGAACACTGAATCAAAGTAGCCATTGTTGAAATTGCTTTACAGGAAATCCTTCACTGACTCATGTTCTACTGTGGCCCGATCTCCCATTTAACAGCTTAGCTACATTATAGAGCACCAGAAAAGCACAGCCACTGAGGATTACTGATGCAGATATTATCAGCATCCATTATCAGATGCCTCTGCTCCCTACTTCTGCTCATTGTAATGCCCCCCTGAAACTTCATGTCTGGTCTTGAAGCTGCACTAACAGCTGGTCTCTGTGGGCCTTCTATTTTTAAAGCTCTTATTACAGAATCAACGAACACACGAGGGCCAACATACCAGCTTGTCAGAGACCAGTAAGTGTTGGATGGTAGCCTATCAGCAACAAACGCAGGTAACAGGTAAGTTAAGGTGGGACAATGGAACACAGGCAGTAAATAATGAAACGGGCACTTTAAAGAAGATAAAATGGCTCTAAAAAGTCGGAACATATAAATAAGTAGCTTATTTGTGAAGGCATTTAAACTTTACAGCAGGCTTGAAAGGGTTAAAACCACAGTATCTCTAACTGAAACTAAACCTGCTCAGAGAGAAGCTCCAATAAGACCTTGCGTGACCTAGCTGTTTAAATTAGCAAAAGCTCTGTTGCAAAGCCACATGGGAGTATGCAAAAAAGTATGCAAAAATTATTTCGATTTCAAGAGAAACAGGTTGGATCAGAAAAGGACTTTTAGCGTTCATGCTAAAATTATGCAAATGTGAAACTGAATTTGGCCTCCTAAATGGACGTTTGATAACATGGGTGTGTTTCACCTGAATCTCTCTTTATCCATGTGCTCACTTACAAGAGGTGAACTCAATGTGCTACAGAAAACAAGCTGCCCATTTAGAAGTGGGTAAATATTAAGTTAGGCAACTTTCAATTAAAAAAAAAAAAATCGCTAGCCTGTCCTGTTGTTGAAAATGAGAAAAAAAACACTTTGCATATGATTATTCAACAGCCACAAAGTTCTACACATCCTGTCACTTGGATATTTATTAAAAATTTTAGCTTATTGATTATGCATTCACATACCAAGTGTTTCATACTGTAATTCAGAAGTTAGCCTAAAATCACACATTAAATAAATAAAATGAATCATGTAAACACAGAGGCATGTTTACAGGCATACACACAAATATACCTATGCTTCTCTGACTGCATTTCACACTCTAAACTGAGAGGGCAGTTCATGCTGACAGTAGAGTGAGAAGGCCTCTCTCCTGCCAACCACTGAGCATGATGTGTCAAACAGAGACACTTACTATTAATAGAATGAAACATTTGCTAAATATACAATTTAACTGTCTATGAAAACAGGTGCACATCACATACAGTCATTGCTTTTCACTATGGGCGCACAATGAAGAAACATCATATACATCTGCTGAAGATCTAACTGGGAAAAAAACACTTCCTAAGCAGTCTAATCAAGGTTTTCTCCACCATGAACCCAGCACCTGTTCAAGCACATCAAACCCAGTCTATGTTGGAGACTGGCAGCACTTTCAAATACATTAGCCTACTGCCATGATACAATAAAATAACACCTTTGATCAACACAGCCCAGAAACTTTTATTTAGGTACTAAAAACAAACAGACAGGAAGCAGACTTTACTAGTAGGAGAGGAAATGAAACAGAGAGTCTACAGCTTGTACAAAAAAAAAAAAATATATATATATATATTAATAATACAGGTCCAGATGAGGGCATAAACAGAACCTTACTTAGACTGTTGTTATGTTAATTAGATACTCGTGAAACTGTGTAGAGCTCTTTGGTTTAATAAACTAACTAACTCAGGATGTAGAACCATGTGATTGTCATGTTTTTTTCTCTGGAGTTTAACCATGCACATCTGCAACTAAGATCATTACATTATCTTAACCCTTGGGAGATTAATTTACCTCTTTTGCGATTACGTTGAGGGCATCTTCCTCAGCAGTCAACCCATTTTTGCTGGGGGTTCTTTTACGTCCTGGCCCTTGAGACCCCATTGGTAATCTTCAATAAATCCTTCTGAGAAACACGCTACTTTACGCGTGAGAACCGATCCTTAAGAGAATTATTCCTTCAGAAAAGGCATAAGAAAAAGAAAGCACGTTTCTAACTCTAACCAAAAAACAGCAACGCTACGTCGTGTCGTTCACTAGTCGGTTCATTGTGTTACATCCGTCTTTTTTGCACTCTTCCTAGTGCTGTACTGTGAAAGACTGAAGAGTCACCGGTGCTGAGAGCGCCAACGCGTTTTCATGACACACGTGTCGCCTCTGAGGAGCTGCCAAAATGGCTGTAAATGATCTAGTGTTTGTTTGCTCAGAAAGTTGGGACGCAACAGCGTGATTGTCAGTATAACGGCTGGGATAAATCGTTTCTTCTCTTGCTTTAGTTCAGTATTGGGGCGCGAATGGATTCGAGCGTCTGTTGGGGGAGTTTGAGGGCTCGCACGCTATTTTTAATCTTGGGAGTCTGGTGCTAAAAACAGAAACCTTATCTTGCACTTCTTAAAGTCATACACGTGCACCTTTCGCAATAATAATAAACTTTTACATTTCATTTTGAAGATAAAAAAAAAATGTCCTGCTGGGGGGGAAATATAATAAACCAGACTGCTGGTCTTAACTGGTCTCAAGCAAATCTCCCATCCTTGCCCGTTTAAAAAGTCAACAAACTGCACCAAGACGAGGAGACAAAACAGCTGTTATTTTCTCAGCAGAAAATTGTTGCCAAATAGGCTACATTACCCGGCCGTAAAGAAAGAAAGAAAGATAGTTAGTTAGTTAATAAAACAACTACCGGTATTTATATAAACTGACTTACCAAATCAATTTCGTTTTCCAGAAACTTTTATTTAGGTACTAAAAACAAACAGACAGGAAGCAGACTTTACTAGTAGGAGAGGAAATGAAACAGAGAGTCTACAGCTTGTACAAAAAAAAAAAAATATATATATATATATTAATAATACAGGTCCAGATGAGGGCATAAACAGAACCTTACTTAGACTGTTGTTATGTTAATTAGATACTCGTGAAACTGTGTAGAGCTCTTTGGTTTAATAAACTAACTAACTCAGGATGTAGAACCATGTGATTGTCATGTTTTTTTCTCTGGAGTTTAACCATGCACATCTGCAACTAAGATCATTACATTATCTTAACCCTTGGGAGATTAATTTACCTCTTTTGCGATTACGTTGAGGGCATCTTCCTCAGCAGTCAACCCATTTTTGCTGGGGGTTCTTTTACGTCCTGGCCCTTGAGACCCCATTGGTAACCTTCAATAAATCCTTCTGAGAAACACGCTACTTTACGCGTGAGAACCGATCCTTAAGAGAATTATTCCTTCAGAAAAGGCATAAGAAAAAGAAAGCACGTTTCTAACTCTAACCAAAAAACAGCAACGCTACGTCGTGTCGTTCACTAGTCGGTTCATTGTGTTACATCCGTCTTTTTTGCACTCTTCCTAGTGCTGTACTGTGAAAGACTGAAGAGTCACCGGTGCTGAGAGCGCCAACGCGTTTTCATGACACACGTGTCGCCTCTGAGGAGCTGCCAAAATGGCTGTAAATGATCTAGTGTTTGTTTGCTCAGAAAGTTGGGACGCAACAGCGTGATTGTCAGTATAACGGCTGGGATAAATCGTTTCTTCTCTTGCTTTAGTTCAGTATTGGGGCGCGAATGGATTCGAGCGTCTGTTGGGGGAGTTTGAGGGCTCGCACGCTATTTTTAATCTTGGGAGTCTGGTGCTAAAAACAGAAACCTTATCTTGCACTTCTTAAAGTCATACACGTGCACCTTTCGCAATAATAATAAACTTTTACATTTCATTTTGAAGATAAAAAAAAAATGTCCTGCTGGGGGGGAAATATAATAAACCAGACTGCTGGTCTTAACTGGTCTCAAGCAAATCTCCCATCCTTGCCCGTTTAAAAAGTCAACAAACTGCACCAAGACGAGGAGACAAAACAGCTGTTATTTTCTCAGCAGAAAATTGTTGCCAAATAGGCTACATTACCCGGCCGTAAAGAAAGAAAGAAAGATAGTTAGTTAGTTAATAAAACAACTACCGGTATTTATATAAACTGACTTACCAAATCAATTTCGTTTTTTAATTTTTATCATACATGTATGTTCTATAGATGTAGATGAATCTGTAGCTTCAGTTGCTGGTGCATGTTGACATCTAGTGGTAAAAACGTAAACCTGCGATGCAAGTTTATTGTAAAATATTGTTTAAAAAATAAAAGAAATTAATCAATTTAAAAAAAACATGAAGAAATTTTATTTATTTATTTATTTATTTTTGTCGTAAATGTTTGTGGGTGGCCTGCCAGCACTAATTGATCAGTAAAATGATTCAGCTGTGCACAGGTGATTGACACTTTAAAACAAGTTCACAGTTGTGTTGGTGTTTAGTGGATGCTTTGAGACCTGCTGTGGGTGAGAAACATAATGGGTACGTTTGTTTGTTTGTTTGTTTGTTTGTTGTTATTTCAAATTTGTTTTGTTTCGCTTTATTTTGTTTGTTTAGTCTCTTCGGTTAATGTTCTTTTTCAGCCGCACAGACAGTGTTGATCGTCTACGCGCACCAGAGCGCAGGATCATTCAATGCGGCTGTTAAAGATGCTGCTGTGGACGCGCTGAAGAAACAGGGCTGTAACGTGCTTGTGTCTGACCTGTATGAAATGAAGTTCAAGGCCACAGCTACAAAGGAGGATATTGCTGGTGTGGGAGGCAGTGTTTTGTTCGTTTAGAAAATATTAAACCAAGCACTAGTGCCTTATCAGAGCTCAGTGGCAGTAATTGCACGATTTTCTGTTTTTTATTTTTTTATTTTTATTATTAGGAGCAGTGAAGAACCCAGAGCATTTCTGTTATGGAAATGAGACCATGTTGGCCTGGCAGGAGGGGCGACTAGCTTCTGATATCGTAGATGAGCACAAGAAACTAAAAGAAGCCAATCTTGTCATTTTTCAGGTAGGCTATGACTTTTTTTTTTTTTTTTTTTTTTTTTTTTTTTTTTTTTTTTTTGGGTTTTTTTTTTTTTTTTTTTTTTGGGGGGAGTTCTTTTGGGTCTTTTAAGTCTTTGACCACTTTTGTCAATTTCTTGAAGTTTCCCATGTACTGGTTCTCTGTTCCTGCCATCATGAAAGGCTGGATGGACCGGGTTCTTACACTTGGTTTTGCGTACACCTTGGAAAAGCGCTACAGTGAGGGCATCTTCAGGGTGAGGCCTGCACATCATAAACCCCAAATGTTGGCTGCTGCTCTAATGAAATTTGAGTGGTCTGTTAATATTGGTATAATTTGAGTTTAATTCATGTCAGGACAAGAAAGCCATGTTATCCTTCACTACTGGTTCCCATGAGACCATGTTCAGCTCCAATGGGATCAATGGAGACATGAATGTTACTCTGTGGCCAATACAAGTAAGAACATAATCCCCTCCATTCCTTTATTACTACTATGTCCGTCTAAGTTATGCTGTGTTCCAAATGGGATAATTCCGCTTCTGAATGGTACTTCGAAATGAGAACGATCATAGCCACTATATTAAAGGGTTATTCCAAACCGGAGTGCTCAACTGGCCACCCCAGGTTAAAAGTACACTTCCATAATGTTCTTGAAGTGCTCCATTTTCTCGCACTAATTTTGTACTTGATATACTAAAAATGGTTCTTTAGTATTTAAGAAACTTAAGAGCAACTTGGCGTACTCAACTGTGCTATTTTGGAACACCATGAATATGAACTAAAATGTGCTTGTAACATACTAACTCTGAATTTTAAAAAAATTATTTAGTCATCACTTGAGTGTACTAGTGTATGAAAGATTGGTTCAAGTGTACTAAAAGTGGTAACTAAAATTCTGTTTAAATTCATAGTATGTTAAAAGCACATTTTAGTTCATTCATGGTGTCCCAAAATAGCACAGTTGAGTACACTTGGTTGATCTTAAGTTTCTTAAGTACTAAAGAATCATTTTTAGTATATTAAGTACAAAAATAGAGCACTTTAAGTACATTATGGAAGTGTGGTGGGGTGGGGTTGTTTTTTTTTTTGTTTTTTTTTGGGTCCGTCCCTACAAAGAGCAAAGCAATGAACCCTGGAATGCAGCGTTAATTGAGTTTGCATTTCATACAAACCTGCAACTTCTGTACCATTTCCTCTCTTTGTAGAATGGTGTCCTCAACTATTGTGGCTTCCAGGTCCTTGCTCCTCAGATCTCCTGGGCACCCACACATCTCTCTCCTGAGGCTCGTGAAGGCCTGTTGGAAGGCTGGCGTGCTCGTCTTCAAGGTCTCCTAAATGAGGCACCTCTCACCTTCCCACCTGTAGACATCTTTGATGAGGGGGAAGGCTTTCAGCTCAAGCCTGAAGTCCGGGAGAAACAGGCTGAATCTCATTTTGGTCTCACTGTGGGTCACCACCTGGAGAAACCTCTGCCACCCCACAACCAGATGAAAGCTGGGGTGTGAGACCTGGTGCAATGCTCTCCACATGTGGCCATGTCTGTTTAACCGTCTCAATGCTGAAATTTAGACCTGAATAAATTGTTCGTGTCTTGAATGAGTATTGTAATTCATTTTGTCTAGCCCCACAGTTGCACTTTTTTTTATTTTTTTTTTTTATTTTTTTTTTCTCGGAGTTTTGTGCATCGTGTGTGTGTGTGAGAGAGGGAGAGAGAGAGAGAGAGGGTCACATGCAGTGGAGTCAGCTGTCTTAACCGTGGCTTGTGTACTGCAAACAGGTTGGTGCACCGAAAATGAAAATTGTCATTTGCTCACCCACATGTTGTTAAAACCCAAGAAACTGTTTAATACGGTGGACGAGAGAGCTCAACGTGCTGCAAATGAAAAAACGCATGCAAATAGGAAAAAAACACCTGTTTGGATGGAATATTAATCAACTAGCAGAAAGCTATCGGATTGCAAATATAGAATGTAGTATGTCTCCAGTATAGGGCGAGGTACCAGCTTGATTTATTCCTGAAGTTAAAATTGATTTGGAAATACTAGACCAGAAAAGAGACTGGGCGGAAATGGGTAATACTAAATATATGGTGAATAGACATTTACAGCAAAGATTTTATGCGAGTACGCATATTTATACAGATGGATCAAAAGACCCAAATATAGGGCTTGCAGGAATAGGAGTCTTTATCCCGGACTTGACTGTATCAATAACTAAAAGAGTATCATCTAAGCTATCAATATATGCTATTGAAATGGTCGCCATCATAATAGGATTGATGTGGATTGAAGAGGTAAAACCAGACAGTAGTCATATGCTCTGATTCTGCTTCTGTGTTAACATCGTTGTCAACCCATCATTCATGTAGAAAATACTTGTGCTAGGTACAGGGGCGTCATGCACCCATGATTTGAGGGGGCACGTGGGGGGACGGGGGTCATGCTTGTCATGTGACACAGCAGTCATGCACTGTATAACTGATATAGGCTTGTTTGATTTTTTTTTTCTTTTTCTTTTTATTCGAAATATTTCCAAACGTGTTAACTAGCCTATATTTGGAAATATCTCGATTCTCAAATGTGTAAGTATGCGTTTTGCACCTTTATAGATTGTTATTTGATCAATGGTGATGGGCAAAGTAGATTAATAGTGTAATTAACTACACATAAAAACCCGACTTTTTACTTAAGTACCAGATAGCCTAGGGTGTCATGCCATAAAATGTTTTAATACGACTGACTTTGTATTTAATGTGAATTTAATAACAATATTGTAAGTTACTAATTATAACACTTTCATTATACAGAGAGCAAAGAACATTTACATTATCAAAAGAACATTTTCATTGATTCTAGCCAGAGACACTCACAAAAACTCCCATTAAAATCACTGAAGCTGTTTACACTGTGAAATGAATCTCTTACTTGCATTCGTACGCACATAGGCTACGCACTGTTGTTTCTGATGAGAGCTAAACACCGCGTTTCAGTGATTTGGAAATACTAGACCAGAAAAGAGACTGGGCGGAAATGGGTAATACTAAATATATGGTGAATAGACATTTACAGCAAAGATTTTATGCGAGTACGCCTATTTATACAGATGGATCAAAAGACCCAAATATAGGGCTTGCAGGAATAGGAGTTTTTATCCCGGACTTGAATGTATCAATAACTAAAAGAGTATCATCTAAGCTATCAATATATGCTATTGAAATGGTCGCCATCATAATAGGATTGATGTGGATTGAAGAGGTAAAACCAGACAGTAGTCATATGCTCTGATTCTGCTTCTGTGTTAACATCGTTGTCAACCCATCATTCATGTAGAAAATACTTGTGCTAGGTACAGGGGCGTCATGCACCCATGATTTGAGGGGGCACGTGGGGGGACGGGGGTCATGCTTGTCATGTGACACAGCAGTCATGCACTGTATAACTGATATAGGCTTGTTTGATTTTTTTTTTCTTTTTCTTTTTATTCGAAATATTTCCAAACGTGTTAACTAGCCTATATTTGGAAATATCTCGATTCTCAAATGTGTAAGTATGCGTTTTGCACCTTTATAGATTGTTATTTGATCAATGGTGATGGGCAAAGTAGATTAATAGTGTAATTAACTACACATAAAAACCCGACTTTTTACTTAAGTACCAGATAGCCTAGGGTGTCATGCCATAAAATGTTTTAATACGACTGACTTTGTATTTAATGTGAATTTAATAACAATATTGTAAGTTACTAATTATAACACTTTCATTATACAGAGAGCAAAGAACATTTACATTATCAAAAGAACATTTTCATTGATTCTAGCCAGAGACACTCACAAAAACTCCCATTAAAATCACTGAAGCTGTTTACACTGTGAAATGAATCTCTTACTTGCATTCGTATGCACATAGGCTACGCACTGTTGTTTCTGATGAGAGCTAAACACCGCGTTTCAGCGATGACTCATCTGAACGTCTCTGATTGGTCATTGCATTCATAAGCTCAACAGAATCGTGTGTGATTGGTTATAATGC